GGGGGGGGGACAGGGACGCAGCAGAACATGTGGATTAGCCACAGCACAACACATGGCGGGAGCGCGGCAGCCGCCACAGGATGCCTTTTGTCCTCTGGCACATCTCCGCTTCCAGTGTTTTTTATTCGGGGGGACGGGAAAAGGGGGGGGGTGGCTGGCGTCATGCCTGTGTAGTTCATCTCCATACATTAGGGGCTTTGTTTCACTGGCCTGATGTTACTGCTTTTGCCAGCATGTGGAAATGACCCCCCCTCCCCATTACACATACACAGTTTTTGTTTTTTTGTGCATTTGAAACCTTATCGAAAACCTCGTTTCACCCTGTTTTTTCTACCTATTCCCAGCACCTAGCTACCCCTCAGACGCGTCCTCACCTTGGTTGCAGAAGAGCCCCCCCCAGCCCTCCTGGCAGTTGCACTGCCAGGGCTGCTGGCAGGTCCCGTGGAGGCAGCCCGGGTAGCGGATGCACTCGTCGCAGTAGCGGCCTTTGAATCCCACCCTGCACCTGTTGTCCAATCAGGAAGAGAGACGGTGAGTCCACACGCTTTGCCTCACATTGACTCATTCACCCCCCCTCCCACACAAGCCCCCGGCCACAACTTACTTGCACTCTCCTGGTTTCTCACAGAAGCCATGTTCCTCGTCGCACCCCGGCAGACAGATCGCTGTTTAGGGGGAGAGAGAGAGAGAGAAGAAAGTGGCTTTTTAGAAAGTCTGAAGCAGGAATGTGTGATTTTTAGCTCTGCGTTTTAACCCCTCGAAAGCTTAAATCCCGACAAACTTCCTAAACAAGAATGAAAAAAAGTTCCTCCTCAATTCTGTCGCCGTCACCCCAAACTCTTTATCCTTTATCTCCATGCCAGAATTTTCGGGGAAACATGGTCGAGGGACAAAGGAAGGGAGTGTGTGAATGTGCGCCTCAAAGTGCACACACAGACCCCCTCGGCCCACCCCACCACCCCCCTTTTTTCTTCTTTTGCTGCGGGTCAAAACTCTTTTATTCATTCTGTGTGCATACATATACTCTCTCTCTCTCTCTCCCTCCCTCACACACACACTCACACACACACACACACTCCCCTTAATGTCTCGGATTGGGGCAGATAAGAGTGGACAGCTGGCGAATGTGTTGCCAGTGTGCGACAGCTGCTCCATTGTCTCCTCTCTGCCGGCAGCTGCCCACTTCAAACAATACCTCCCCCGCCTCGGCCAATCGGCGCCCGTCCCACTCCGGGAGCGGCCAATCGGAAGGTAGCATGTAAATTTATGGCACGCGTGAGATTATTCCCCAAAACTTTCCTTAGAATAAATCAAGTGGTCGTGTGTGGGAGAGGGGGGGGGGGGGGGGGGGGAAAAGGGGGGGGGGGGGGGGTGTTTACGCACAAGTTCCCTTCTAACGGCACTTGGAGGATGTGACCAACAGGCCGAATCTAACCCCTAAAGTTAACTTTGTGAAATGCTGTTAACCACGAGTCAAACTAATCATCCCTGATAAGATTTAAAAGCATCCGTATCAGATCTCTTTTTTTAAATAAACAACTTTCCTGACCAAATGCGCGCGTATTAATGACCCTTCCAGCAGTTAATGCGCAAAGTAAAACAGCAGGAAGACTTTTTTGGGGGGGTACTCACGCTCCGTGCAGTACTGTCCCTTCCACCCGGCGTCGCACACGATCTCCCCGCGCTCTCCGCAGGTGAAGTGGCCGAAGGCGTCGTCTCTGGGCCGGCAGAAGACCGAGCAGCCGTCGCCGTAGTAGTGCTCGTCGCACACGAACCGGTAGGCGTACTTGAGCTCGGTCCTCCCGGCCGTGTGCAGATCCTGGGACCACTCTTCCCCCACGGTCAAGTGCCTCTGCGTGGTCATGGTGCTGATGACCCGCTCCGGGTTCTCTGCAAAGCGCACGATTAGGGCGAAAAAAAAGAAAGATGGGTGAGATGGGAACGCGCAAATTTAAGAGAACGTCAAAAAACAAGAAAGAAAACGGGGCTTTTATTCCCCTACCTGTAGAGAGGTCGTCTTTGGAATCGGTGTGTAACGCTTCAATGATCAGCGAGAAGGTCCCCTGGGAACACAAATGGCTTCGTGAGACAGGTGGCCGGCGGAGACGCGGAGATGGTATCAAGTGAGGGCCCCGAGGGCGATTGTGCCACGCTCTCGCTGGGGCTGAATGTGAATTGTTTTCAACCCGATACGGCCGAAACCGAACACCCCGCCGGCTTTGTGCGCCGTTCCGCCCTCAGCGGCGGCCGGGAAAACGCACCGCTGCGCATTTTACGCACGAACTTCACATCCGAGCGCAAATGGCGCCAATTCGCCCCCCCCCTGAAGTGGAGCTAGTGAAACTCAAAAGAGCGAAAGAGAG